GCAGGATGCGTGGATGTTGTCTCGCTGGCATAATTTAGAACGGTTCGCGTTTGCCAGCCGGCACACAGCCGGATTGCGCTTTGCTTTCTTTCGCATGCACCGAGCTACATGCCGACGCGACATCGTTCAAGTCCGCGTGTGCTTCTATGCGATTAACCAGGTTCTGCGCTACATCGCTAACATTGCGCGGAGTGTTTGTGTGCCCAGACCGCGCTGGCCAGCCGGGGCTCTTCCTTCGGACGCGAGTAACTCTCGCGCTTCCTAAATAGTCCCGTTGCACAACAATTAAACACGTACTTACATTTGCACAACGCCGTCAGCACCATGTCCACAGTCCGGACGGCTCACCACCTAACGCAATTTTTTTCATTTCATGCATTACATACCAATCCAGTCCGAACTCGCGCTCACAACCATATACACGCCGACGACTTTCACGTCGCTCCTGCCCTGCAACGGTTTTTTGCTCTGCTCGTAGCAGCGCAACGCACCACTTTCACATTTGGGCATGACAACACGCCATGTCCATGGCGCTTCATTCATTTCAGCATACAACTTGTCCCAGCGCCCCACCCGTTGGCGTGACAGCCGTCGCCCATGCTCGCCATGCGAAGACGAACCGACATACCTTCGACACCCTTCAGATTCAGCCCGCCTCTTTGACGCATCCCGTTTGTATGATGCCGCAACAAGTATAAATGCCAGCCTGTGTCGCCTTATTTTTCACACATTCTTGTGCTTCCTTTTTTTGGCTCAAAGACCAAAGTCCATCTTGCGGATGCCAACCAGCCAGCCTGTCACTTCGCGGACACATTTTCTACTGTTGCGAACCCCAACAAGATGGCTCCGAAAATGGCACGCCAGTCACAAGCGTCACCGCAGACCCTTGCGCCCGTCAACTTGGGCGCTTATGGCACGCCTTCAACAAGCCAGCCGTCCACCTCTTCAGCCGGCGCCCAAGCCAAGCCGCCCGTCGACATAGCTGACCTGTGGGCGCAGCTGGCAGCGGCCTCCCCAACCGGCGGAGGCCGCGATCGTTCCTCTCCAGCCGGGGTGCCCAAACGGCCCCTCTCCTTCAAGTAAGCGCCTCATCTTCCGGTACTAGCAGGCGCCTTGCCACGCCGGACCCTACCCAACAGATCGCATGCCGTCCCTGCTGTGCGTGCACGCTACCACTGGCTGTCCCATGCAATTACCATCTTGACACGCCCTGCTGCTGCCCCTCGAACCGTCAGGCAGCAGCTGCTCTTGGGAAGCATGGGATGTCACG